TGTCGGAAAATATTATTGTTCATGGACTGCATGTTGTAAATGCTCGAATGGTGAACAGGGCTCGTGGGAATCAAACTCATGAAAGCTTACAAAGGCGGACGACCCAACCAGTATGACATCCCACGTCTAAAGTTAAAGTTAGATAGATACTAAACTTTTAAACTACTTTTTAACTTCTTTTTTTTTTAAGAGTTAAACAAGAGCTAAAAAAAGAGAATAGCTCTCGTGGGAATTGAGCCCGTAGGCTCTCATAGAGTGCAACATACAGATGAGCCTACCAATACAACACTCAATGATTCATGTTAAAGTACGGCAGGTTATACTACGTATTATTTTTTTTATTTTGTTTGTTGTCTTCTTTTTTTTTAGTGAACATAACTCGGGCAAGTTATGTCGCTCCAAGGATCTTTCACCCTTAATCTCCGACATTCAGTGCTTGGCCACCATGTCGGCTTATGCCTCACTCCCCGCACGACTGTTCCTAATATTAAACATCGTCGATCGTCGATTCGATGTGTGCTCTAAACAGCCGGTTGGCTGCGTGAAATTGAACGTTGATGGTAGTGTAAGGGGGGGCAAGGTTTGGTTGTGGTGGTCTTCTCCGTGACCACAATGGTACCATCATCTAGTCGTATTTGGGCACCCTTCATGCCTGTAAGATCAAAGAAGCTAAGCTTTGGGCAGTTAAAATGGGAGTTTAACATCTTGCTTGGTCCCAAAGGAAGATTATCATTGAAGACGACTCAGCTAATGTGGTCTTATGGTGCTCCCAACTGTCTCGGGTACCTTAGAGGCTGAGTGTCATTATAGATGAAATCCTCCTCAGGATAGAAGACAAGGAATATGTCTTCATCCATGTTTATAGAAGGACCAACTCCGATGCTGATTCCTTGGCTAAACTGGTTACTGCTTAAGTCGTCTCAGTTGTCGTTTTGAGCGCTTCGTGTTGACTTTCCCTTCCTGTTTTGGCTATTGTTTGTTGTTTCTTTTATTTTCTTTTTGCTTTTCTATTGTACTTCTTAATTATCTCAATGAATATCACATTTTCTCAAAAAAAAACAAAAAAGTCGGACGAGTTACTAGGACTCGGCTGAGAAACTCGCATCGGTCAAGGTTTGAGTACCTTGGCTACGTCGTGCTCCAAACACTATCAGGAAGAATATTTTTTTGTTGAATATACTGCTAATTATTTATTGGAATGTAAGTTTTTTAGGTAATACATTGTTTGCAGTGGTGAAAACTTTTATGATATTTTTTGTTAAATCAATATTGTTAATTCAATCTCACATTTAGTAAGTTTATCTCAAAACCAAGATTCCAAGGTTTCAAGTAAACAGAGAGAGGGGTAGCTTAAAAAGCTTCTGCAAAACAACAAATACATTAAAACATTGTAGAAGCTGTCTTTAAAGATAAAAGATAAAAGATAAAGTGTGCATTTATATGGGTTTCCAAGGAAAATTGCGATTTATTGAGAATCATTTGAAACACATAGAATTTTTGACAAGTTTTGAAAAATTAAAATAAAATATCATATTTTAATCAGAGACTTACGAATCATAGTTCTAACAATAACTAGCTTAGGACTTGGGTTGGGTTTGAACAGTTGGCTGACTTGTAGCAGCACTACGTCTCAAGTTATTCCCATTGCTGAACAAACAAAACCTAACTTGACAAGAACATTTAAAAAACACAATGGATAAAAGTACACGTCCTATTTTTATCATCTTATTGAGAATTGAGTCACTCATTATGTAATAAATGCACTACTTCTATTTTTCAAACTCAAGAAATACCCCAACAAGGAAAGGGGCCGGGGTCATCTTGGTAGCACCGCTACACCCTAATCACCACATTGCGAATTCTATTTTCACCACGAGCACCACCTTCAAAAGGGTAATTCTTAATCTACTTGAAAAAATAGGTAAGGGCATGTCTTCCCACTGCATTTATCCAAAAATAAATAAAAAAAAAATTTTCTCCAACGAGAGCTGAGTTTATGACCTTTTAGTATTTGCACATTATCTTCCATCAAAAACATAGTATATAAAAGCATTGCTCTAGCCTATATTGTTTTCCATAAGCTATGCTATATCTACATTCATGTCTTGCCATGGTTGGTAGCATTATATTTTTTATGAGATTATATACTATGAGACCATTTATTTTGGTACAAGGAGATCACAATCATTGTTAATCATTGGATGTGAAATTCAAAAGATGAAAGTATATTACAACATTCGAAAAAATTTATGTTAGACTTTGTGCCAAACAATGACACAACCTCAACTACCTGATTTCAAATCTAATGGTCAACAATAATTGTGACCTCTTCATATCAAAAGTAAATGGTGTCATTGTATTCATTTCCATTGTTTATTTTGTTTTATTTGAATGTTAGCTTTCTATTGTAACATGTGAATGGGGTCCCTTTATTTGTCAATCACAAACCTCTTTGGAAAGTCATGTGAATCACGGAATAGGATGAGTTTTTGTTGGTCCCTTCACTGGAAAAAGCCAAAGCCAAAAAGGCTAACCATGCACATTGAAGAATTGGAGGACCCACTTGTCTTGGTGAGTTAAAGGATATAACTTAAGGTAAATTTTCTTGCCCCCCACCTATATTTAAGGGTGCCCCACCAAACAGAACCCTATAAATACACGCAAAAAATAACAAAAATGCTAGCACTACATGCATGTCAGTGAATGTGGGTTGTTCATATTGAAATCTGGGCCGTTTGGCTTAATCTAGGTTAATTCCAGAGCTTCATTATCGTCATCATCATAACCTTTTTTCAACTAATTAAGATAGGCTAGTTCTAGAGTTTATTAATTTGAAATTGGCCTATTTAACTCTGATACAGACTTTTGCCTCTCACAACTTATTGGGCCGCAATGACCTTTTGATATTTATTTGAAACTTAGAGTTTCTCTTGGCCATGAGCATTGGTCATGTTGATCCACTTTGGGCCAATTAGAAAGGTATTTAGCACGGTTGGTTGGAAACAAGCGTTGCTCCAAGTTAGTTTAGACATCGGTCAAGTATCTTTGGGTTGCTTTTGGTTATTTTTTAGAGAAATTATCAGAAATATAACTTAATTTTTGTCTAATTGGAAAAAAAAAAAAACCTAACTTTTGTAAACCTCGTTCACACCTTTTTTTCTCAATTTTGATATATTTTTTTATCAAAATTATCTTCACGGTAGTCGTATTATTATGAAGGCTCTATCATTATGGTACTTTAAGTAATGTAATGTGGTAGTATTACGGTAATATGACTATCGTAAAAGCTATTTCGGTTAAAAAAAAAGTCCTAATTGAGGAAAAAGGGTGTAGATGAAGTTTATGAAAACGGAAGGCTTTTTTTTCCAATTAGAAAAAAATTAAAGTATAGTTCTAATAATTTCCCAATTTTTTAAGGTGATTCAAAACCACCTAAACAGATTTCCCAATTTTAAAGGTGTCAGTGGATGGTGTCAGCATGATTAGAAACCACAACATGGTAACTACGTACAACAGTGCTACCACCACAACCCAAGCCCTTTCCTATATAGATTGTTTTCAAAACACACGAATTCGATGTTTGATTTTCTAAACATATTTTTAACAGAGGTCATTTTGGGTTTGGGATTCAAAGCTCAAGTGTCTTAAATGAGGCTACTTACCAAAATGCTTTGTTATGGGTTCCAATTTGAGGCAAGATTTTGACTCAAATGATTTCAAATTGCCACAATGTCTTTACTTTTTCACCATTATGTATTCGGAATAAGGGCAATTTGTCCAAATTTCTAAAAAAAAATATTGAAGAGGTACCGTTATAGAAGAATTTTTGGAATTGTTGCGATGCGCAAACCATCCCAAAAGATATTTTATTTTGGTTCCACCTTGAATAATTTATGTGCATATCCCTTTAATTTACCATTGTTTGAAAAGTTCTCTAAAAAACTGAACAATTACGTTCATACCTATTTGTCTTCTTTTTTTCCCAAACCGCCCTTACTTTGGGTTCTCAAAATCGTCAGTCTCGATGGCAATGAGCAGGCTTATTGTATGTAAATAAAACTTAAGATTAGACAACTTTAGATCTTGAAATCCGAAGTTTATTGTAGCCTCCAGCACGAAAACTTTGGATTTTTTTAAACTCAAAGTTTAGAGTACATCAAATTTTCCAAGATTCGCATTATTTTTAAGTTTTATAACCACTCAAGAAGAGGTCCAAGTGCTTTATCCCAAGTGTAAACGTATCCTCGAGATTCAAAGTAGGGGTAGTATTGTCATTTAAAAAAGTAAAAGTTAAATACAAATATTATAACATAAAAAATTCAAGAGTTTCTTAAATAAGGGAACTTTAGGAGGACATGTGAATTGCTCTTAAAATTATTGATGATGAAAAGTTTCATTTATCTATGGATGAGGTTTCATTTTCCTTTATTCTGTTTATTTCATTGTTTGAGCTTTGAGGTGGTTCAAATTTGACCACTTCAACGATTTTTAATAAAAATTGGGTGTGGTTTCAATAAGGTTGCAATTTTGATCATAACATACAATTTTGATGTAAAATATTTTTAGGATTATCTTAAAAACTATTTTCATATCTAATTATAAAATTTTAAACTCTAAAAATAGTTAAAATCAAGTGGATATATAAACATACGAAATTTTAAAAAATAGATGGTTTAGATAATTTGTTGTAAGAATCACTATTTTTAAGATTCAAAATCTTTTTTTCTTTTATAATCATATATCTCGATGTCGAGATGCTCAATTAGAGGGTTTTTTAATATTAAAATAAATTTTTCCAATAAATTTTTTAGGCGCATCCGTAAACTTTTTCCAACAAAAATATATATCGAACACTCATTGAAAGGGTATTTGTGTCATTTTCGAAATTTCCCGGAAAAAGAAAATGTCAAACCCAGACGCACGTGCAGTTTTCAAATATTCCCGGTAAAAAAATAATCAAACATTGAATCTGGATGAATGGGAGATGGGCCTCGCGTCGCTTTCATTACAGTGGGAAAGTACAGAAAACAAACAAATCCAAGCTTTCTTCTGTTACGTATCCATGGCTTCCTTCCTGTTTCTTACCTTTGCTGTAGAGAGAAGAGAGAGCATTTGTTCACTTTTGTGGACTTTCTATGCCTTTTTTTGGGCTGGAGGGCGGCTGAACGCTTGAGTTTTTTTTTTTTAGGGTTTAGTGACGCTTGTCTTCTCCCTCCGCCGATTCTTACTGTTCAATTTCTCTCGCTGTTAAATTTCTGGGGCTAATTTCTAGGTGTCATTTTGGGGAGGGCCAGAGCACAGAGAGGCTTTTGAGTTAAGCTCGTTTTCTTCTCTGTGTTCCTGAACTTTGAAGGTAAGTGCCTCAAATGAACGGTATCATTTTTATTTTCTTTTCTCTTATTTTTTTAATGCCAGTGATTCTTTCTTTATCTCTCTCTCTTTCTCAATTATTATCAATATTTACGTCTATTACCTGTATGCTTCAATTTGCTCTCTGTTTAAATCTCTCTCTAACCTGTTGGATCATGAGGAGCATTTGTTTTGTGATATTGAAGAGGATATGTGAGTTTTGACAATTTTGATTATGGAGTGTTTTGATTGATTCTTTGATGTTCCTTGCGTTTCCTTAGGGTTGAGAACCTCCTATTTGATTGTCAATTCCTTTAGTAATAAGATCTCTTTTTGTTGAATTAACTGATCCTCTTGCTTTCACCAACTTGTTGAATTGATGTAATTGTTTTATAAGCACCGTATGCTCATTAGAATCATATGCTGTTCACTTATTGAATCTGTGGAATTACTTAGTATCCGAACAGAATTCCTCAAGAATTAATTGATGTGGTAGCTGAGGCTGCCAATGGGCCGAACCAAATATACAGGCCCAGTCTTAAACTTTTGGGCACAGAAACAAACTGCAACTTGCGGCTTTGACCTAACCTAAATTACTCTTTTTTTTTGGGGTTCCTACCTATGGTAGGAATGAAACTCAAGAGATCATGCTAGGGTGACCCACCATCCTGAAGTACTCAGTTGGAGCCCGAACCCTGCCTGATCAAATCTTGCTGGGCCTGGGCCTAATTTTGTGTATATATATATATATATATATAATTTTTCTTTTGGTGCTGGGCTAGAGCTTGCCCAAGCCTGGCTCAAAATTGTTCGAGCCTAACAGTCCTCTTCCCTGGGCCACTCCTGTGGGGCCTTAGAGTGTAGCCCATATCTGGTCAAAGCCAAAGTGCGGCCCAGTTGGCAGCCCTCACTGTGACAATCAAGATTGCAAGTTTATCATCAACTCAGTTGGCACTAGATTTTTGGGAAACTTTGTTTTTTTTTTTTAATAAGTAAATTTTTGGGACAGTTAGGTTCAATAAATTGCATGAATTGGCCTCTAGATGAATTTGAACCCCATGGCTCACTGACTGCATTTAAGTCCTACCACTACAAGATCAGGCTTACAAATTTATTAATAATAACATGATAACATACTACAAGATCGTTTACCCTTCATACAAAAAGGTCATGATCACCTCTAGCTATCAAATGTGAAATAAGGCAGCTAGGGGTGTGTCACATTTTTGGCACAAGGTTTGAGAAACATTTCTCAAACTTTGCTTGCAGTCAATGGCATGCGTCCAACATCTCAAGTTCACATATGGTGACCAAGGGTGATTGTGACATTCTTTAACAAAGATAAATGGTCTTATTATATACTTTCTCATGACGTCTATGTCCTTAAACATGAATCTACCTATATTTTAATAGATATAAGGGGAACACTCAATCGACTGAACAAATTGTCTACTCGACATGCTTGATATGATGGAATCACACCCTTCTTGGGAAACTGGGGAAATGACGAAACAAGTCTCAGTAAGAGCCGCAACAACACGAAGTCACAAACATAACTGTGCAGCAACAGACCTGGGCGTTCATACTCCTAGCATTTCTCACCAGTCATTTGCTTCCATTGTAGAGTGAGTAGTTGACCATTTCTTAAGGGAAAGTGCATGCTAAGGTTCTCTAAGCAAGTACAAATGGGTAAACAGAAAAATAAGAAAAATAAAAGTAAAACTTTAGGGTCTACTTGAACTACGGGAGTTATCCATTCCTTTCTAATAATTTCATTTATTTCTAAGATTTTAATTGATCTCTGACTTTTGGATTCACTGACTACGTTATTATGATGACTTTTGGGATACTGATGGTCATATGCATACCCATGTTTATTTGAAGCCTAAATTAACGATGCAGAGCAATCAATATTGGCCATTATTAAATAAAAAGATTGCTAGTAATTAAATGAGCAAAATTGGGATTCAACCAAAGTATATTTAAATTTTCATAGGTCTTCATGTCCAAATCGGCTGCAATTTGAGTCAGGAGAACTTGTAAGATGACTTATGCTCATTTATACGATTCTAAGTCATGGCTTATTTTAACATATTACATGGAAAATCTGTCTGCTTCATCATAGTGTGCGTGCCATGTTTATTTTTTTGATGATTCTAATAAGCTATGCAATGACGGATCTGAAGCATTTCTATTTCTTGCAGAGTTGTTTTAAGTTGCATTTTGGAAAGTGCTTCTGGCTTTAGAGGGGCAGCTAATGGTTCACGTAACTATGACTTTTTGCTGCCTTGGTGGGTTCTTGGCAGGAACAAGGGACACAACTCAAACAGTAGATGGTATGGAAAGTGTTAAACAGTTGTGCTTGTCTAAGTGATGTTGAATGCACTATTTAAGTACCATCTGTGCTGTTATGGTTTTACAATTGTTTCATTTTTCTGAATTGCAATTAGCAATGATGAATTTTCAGGATTTGAGACTTGAATTAGTGTTGTTGCCTCTTTGTAGTAGCTAAGACAAGTTTCTTGATAAATCATCAGTCTGAGCGTAGTGTTCACTTCAACAACCGCTCTTAATTTCTACTTTGTAAAAATTTGGTGGAAAGTGCCATGGTAGTGGGTTCTACTCTAGGTATATCATACTTCGGTAAACACAAGTTAGTCCTCGAAGCTTGAGTTTGCTGATTCTCTAGGTTAAATTCCATCTCATGGTCGGGAGCATACATACTAGACCTTCAACACCAAGTTCTATTACTTCATTCATTAATTGCTGACAGGCTTATACATTTTAGGGTCTAGCCCCATTTGGCACCTGATTCATTGTTCGAGTAGTAGCCACATCAAAGGAATGTCAGCATATGAAATCTTGTACCAGTGGATGCCATGACCTTGACATTAGAATCCAGAACTTTGTGCATGCAGTTTGTTTTTTACTTAAAGAATTTTTTTAAAAGTTCTTATGTAGAGTTTGTTTCTTGTGGTGAACTTCTAGACGGAGGTTATGCGTTCAACCTTTAGTTGATGGGTTAAAAATTTGAATACGTTCTTTACTACTTGAATGGGAGGCATAATGTTAAAGTTGGACCCAACCTAATTGACTACTGTTACATTTTACAACTTGAGCGGTGTGATTTCCGTGAGTGGGACGTATACAATGTTAAGGTAGGACCCAGTCTATGAAACTATCATGGCATCTTAGTTGAAAGTATAATAAATGATGACTGAAAAAATGGAAATTCTTCGTAGTAATTTATTGAGATTTATATGTTTTCTTATTTGTGCTAGTATATAAATTTACATAAGGAACAAATCATAAGTTTGATTATGTCAATATCCATGCATGAGGTAATTCATTTTATTCACTTTGTTCTTTTACTGTTAGGCACTTACCATCTTCTATATTATTTATTTCTTCTTGGCCAGGACTTTTATCTCCCAAGAATATCAAGCTATTTTCCTACATTGAACTGAGGTCTGCCACAAAGAACTTTCATCCAAGTAATAGGATTGGTCGAGGTGGCTTTGGAACAGTCTATAGGGTATGGTTAGTTGCTAGCTCTTCTAATGCACAAGTTCTCATTCTTTCATGTTGTGGGGAAATATACTATGCTACAATAAACATACTGTATGGATCATACCCACCATACTTGATTAAATCTCCTTTGATACTTGGGGTAATGATGGTTTTTTTTTTTTTTGGGGGGGGGGGGGGGGGGGTGGTCATTGGTTGTGCTGAATACATTTTGAGAGCAAGAAATTGCACTAAACTACAGGAAGTTAGGAGCTGCCAAGAAAGCTTACGCTGGAGAGGTTAGGTTGGTTTTTCTGTACAGAGGCAGAAGAAGAGGTGAACCATTATATGGACCATTCTTTTTCTTGAGATCATTATCTTGGCACTTAATAGTGGAAAGGGATTCCCTTGTTTTCAATAGATAGATTGTCAAGGCATTGCATTGCCCTTGGAGGATTGCAAATCTAACAGTGATGTTAGCTGTATACATACAGACAAGGAAGACAACTGAATGATTCACGTGCTGGTAAAATTTCAGTGGATTTGAGTGTACGATTTTCTTTTCTGGTTGCAATGAGCCGACAGCTATGACCCTTTTATACTTTTCTTTGTCGGCAAAAAAGCATAGATATGCTTTCATAAGGCATGCATGCACTTATTAGTTATGATCACTCTGTATTTATATACAGATAATCATTTAGGTCCCAATTTTTAACTTCTAATAAAAGAGGAATTCATTTTTGGTTACTAAATTCTTCAATTTAAGTGGGACGGTTGGATTTTTTCTTCATTTAGTCCTAAGTTCCAAACCAAACTACTCATAGAATCATGTTTCTAAAAAGGGCAAAAAGGACTAGTTGCAGAATTCAGAATTTTCTGGAAATGGCACAGTTATCTTAATAATTTTCCAAATAAATAGGAATTTATTTTCTGGCTTGTCTTGTTATAGGATAATGAACAAGTCAGGTTTTGCACGGGATAAATCATTGTAGTTCATAGGCATGTTCATTTGGGAAACATAAACACTTACAGCTCTTAAAATCCATTATTAAAGGCTCGTATATTGTCTTCTGAAGAAGGAAAATTGATGGCCTGTATATTTGATGCTTTCTCTAGTCCTCCTCATGGATACTAGACGTTACTTGCATAAGTTATATTTCTAATTCCTGTCATTTCCAAATGCAGGGAACTCTAAGGGATGGGACAGAAGTTGCTGTGAAATCACTATCTGCTGAATCTAAGCAAGGAGTTCACGAATTCTTAACCGAGATCGATATGATTGCTGATGTTAGACATCCAAACCTGGTCACTTTGATTGGCTGCTGTGTTCAAGGGAACCACAGGATTTTAGTCTATGAATACGTGGAAAACAACAGTCTTGCATATGCGTTACTAGGTAACAATGTGTGCAATTGACTACCATGTTAGAGCCAGTGTTACTGTGATACTATCTCTTTGCTGGTTTTGTGTGTCGACATATTCAGTCTCCAACATGTGTCGACGCCTGGGTATATAAGGAGTTAAATAAAAAACTGGGGGGAGCCATGCTAGAGCTACAACTCAAGCCTTCTGAACCGACTTTCCAATCCTCTACCACGGCCCCATCCACTTTAAATGTGCTAGATAAATGGAAATTATATTATGTATATAAGAAAATATAATATTTTATTTGTAAATAATAATAGCATGGATGTGCCCAGCCATATTGGCTTTTTAAGCCAATTTGCTAGACACCTTTGACAATAGTAGGGATCGAGTTGGTGTTCACGTAACACTGTTTTGAGAGTTCTCAACAAATTAAGAGGAAAACACAGGCATCGACATAATTCTATTTTGCAGGACCGGAGAATAAAAGGATCGAGCTAGACTGGAATAGAAGATCTGCAATTTGTATGGGCACTGCTAATGGTCTTGCTTTCCTTCACGAAGAACTTGAACCACATATAGTGCACAGAGACATTAAAGCTAGTAATATTCTCCTCGACAAGGACTTGCTCCCTAAAATTGGAGATTTTGGTCTGGCAAAGCTTTTCCCAAATAATATTACTCACATAAGTACAAGAGTAGCAGGAACAGTGTAAGTAGATTATCTTGTTGTGTGACTCAATCTTAATTTCAAGCATCTGTATACTTACATCTCTGTTTTATTCCTTTTCTTTTCTCTGGAGCTTGTTTTCTTTGATTGATAGTAGACTTTGATTGTTATCCATGCCCTTAATTCTATCCATTGGATTTCTTTCTAACTTTCAGAAGGGAAAATTAAATTTTGAAACACGTGGGGATTCTTTATAGCATTATGTGTACATAGATTTGTAACATATTAAGATTTTCTCCTCTTAGAATCTTCTGTCTATCTATTGGAATCTATTAGAAAGTTATTAGTCACTTGGTCAGCCCTATTCATTTATTCAACTTTCAGAATCATACTTGTGATGTTTGTGAAGAATTTATTGCTGAAGTGGAGAGAAACCTCAGAATTACATTGGAAGGTTAACCATTTTGTATATTCAGTTGGATCAATGAATTCAAATATTTTCCTTCAAAAACTTGCAAGTATAATTTAGTAATTTTCATAAGATTTTAAAAAATTCTAAGCATTGGCGTAGACACTTGTTTAGTTCTCATTTTCAAGACATACATCAAGGAGCTATAACACCTTGGTGTGTTGGAAGCCTTATTATGTAAGAACTTATAATTTAGAATGATACCCTACCCATGTGTGGTGGTCTCATCACAAGATGTTACCTTATCTTTAAATTTAGGTAGGCATTATTAACTGAAACATGCAAGTCACTATATTCATATTGAAAATAATCCTTGATATCAACATTTTTATTTTACCTTTAGTTATTGACATTTCACCAGTTTGTTGAGGTTGATAATTTTGGAGAGATGCTATTTTCCAGATTCTCTAATCCCCGTCACCTTTCTACTTGTCACTCTAGATGCTAGTTGAGTGCTATGACCATTTAGTATAAATTATGATCAATGTAGTGCGAACCTATAAGCTTTTGCTTTGGTGGAGCTAGAACCGTGGACTATGCTTAACTGGATCTATTTGCAGTGGTTACTTGGCACCAGAATATGCGATGCGCGGTCAGCTAACAAAGAAAGCTGATGTCTATAGCTTTGGAATCCTTATACTTGAAATCATTAGTGGAAGAAGCAGTGCAAAGGCAACCTGGTCAGCAATGCAGAAATTCCTCCTTGAGTGGGTAAGTTCTTCAAGTTTGTCCATCATGATAATATCTGATCATATTCAATTATTCATAGTGATTCATCGGCATTTATGTTAGAATGATATAGATACATAAGTCCACGACTTACTTGTAGAGATGCTTTCCATTCGCTTATTTAACTATTCGCAATAACCATCACTCTTTGGCAACATTCTTGCAAAATTTTGTGTATAGACATGGCAATTGTATGAAGAAGGAAGATTGTTAGAGCTAGTTGATCCAGAGCTCGAAGAGTACCCAGAAGAAGAGGTCCTCAGATTCATCAAAGTCGCTCTCTTTTGCACACAAGCTGCCTGTAAACAGAGGCCCGACATGAAGCAAGTGGTGACCATGCTCTCTAGCCATACTCGTCTTAACGAGAAGATTCTCATGGCCCCGGGCCTGGTCAAAGACTTGATGGGTATCAAAGGAGATTTCAGACCTGCAAATTCCAGTAATTCGGAAACCCCCATCCCCTCTACTTCCTCTGCTAAATCTGCAACTAATCTCCTCAGCTCTCCAATGAGCTTTACTGAGATAATGCCTAGGTGATCATGGGAAGTAGTAAGGTGATAATGTATTCATATTGTTGTTACTATAAAGGGGAATGTTTGTGGCGATGGAGAAATAATTATTAGAAGTTCAACTAGAGAATGATACTTTTATATGTCTCCATTTAGATTATGGGATTGTCTACAAAGAGACCATTTATCATTTGTACATAGATGTCACAATTATTCTTGTCCCTTCAATTTCAAAATGTGTGATCATAAAAGTGTGATTGATAGATACAAAATTCCCAACAAATAAATAAATTTCGGACTTCATGACTCACCCCAAACCATACAATTTGACATCTAATGAGTGTAATGTTTATAACTTCCATGTACAAAAGATAAATAATCTCCTTGTAGATAATCCCTTGAATTATTGGTGCAAGAAGAGACCCTTCAAAGCATAGAGGGGAACACATTATGTTCCCTTTCAAAACTTAAGTCTTGTATCTATTGTTAAAGAGATGATTGGTTAAAGGGAAAATTTTGAATTCCGGACTGCCAATGCTTTGATTTGTATATAGTGTGGTATTGAGTTGAATAAAAATTTGTGTTATTTGTTATGTACAACCGAGCCAGCTTTGTCGTGAAATTTTTTTAATAAAAAGAACTTAACCATCATTATTTCATAGACAAATATTATCCGACGCTGACCACCTAGCTTTGAGCCGATTCCTATCCCCTCGATTCTCTTTCTATACTTGTAAATATTTCGATGGATATTATTGAGAAAAACCCAAGGGACTGCCCTAGCCCATCCTCACCTATTTTGGGGACTTTAGGCACATTTTGTTTGTCCTAAGGCCCTGATGAAAATGCCAATAAAAATAATTTTAAAAAAGAACACCAGAAAAAGGTCTTTCAGACTCAACAACGCAAGCCATCAGCTTGATCCAGATCTGTAAGAACTCAAGCCTTAGAAGGAGAGAGAGAGAGAGAGTCACCACAAATCCTAACATATCACTAATTATAGGGTTATAATCATTGACATCATATGAAAGGATTATGTTATTGTTGTTAGAAGAATCCACATAGCATCCCTAAATAGTTGCAAGAAAATTAAAGTGTATCCTTCCAAACCTAAGGAACACAAGCTACTCTAAAACGAACCTTTCTAATCCCATCAGTGCAACTGCAAGTAAAACCATTGTAAAAACAAAAAAAGCTCCGCATCGCCAAGAGCACCAAAAAACAAAAAAATCTGTTCTTATTCACTACGAGTAGCACTAAACCCTAGACTGAAATATGAGAAGGCCAGGAAAAAACAAAGGCACTTCCAAAAACCAAAATATCAAAAAAAAAAAAAAAATAAAAAAAGGGCCTGTCTACAATGAGACCGATGCTTTCTTACATAAAGGTCATTAACACGCCAAACTGTGAGATGTAAAATTGGATAATTGGCCTCAGAATTCTAGAGTACTCAAAGGTACCCACTTAGCTGTCCAATTTCACACCTGACAACGAAAGGGTGATTGTGAACTTTTTGCATCGAAGATACATGGTCCTATTGTATACTTTCCCGAAAAGAATGGTAGAAAATACGTGTAACGAAGTGGACTTCTCCTCAAGCACCAGCTTCAGGCTCAGAAGGGGCATCTTGCATGACATCCTCGACTTTAGGGGCTCTGCGAGCTGCTTGTGATGGATTGGGATCGGCCTTCTTAGGAGCGGGCTTAGGCTTGGGCTTATTGGGCTCAGGTTCAGGCTCCTTAGTTGGGACCTCTTCATTGGGCTTTGCAGCTTCAGTGGGTGTTGCAGCATCTTCAGGCTTAGGCTCGGGTGGTGGGGAAGGAGGGATCATGTGGGGTGGAGGGGTGTGCTTGAGCTTCAATAGGATGTGACGCATCCTCGAAAGGTCAGTAGGCCTGCCGGGCTTGGGCCCCTGAACCACGACAATGGAAGGCTTCCTCTCTTGCTCCTTCTTACCCCTCCTCTTCTCAATGCTTGAGATCTCGTGGGGGACAAGCTCTGCAATTGCCTTCCAATACTGCTTGTCTGCATTCGCATGGAACTTCTCCTGATTTGCTAGAAAGAGCTGGACAAAAACAATGCAAGAAATTGTTCAATCCAAGCAATATTTACATAACAAGGTCCTGAATTACATAGACATGGATATGAGTGTTAGCATTTTAAATTTATAAGTGTAAAAAATGTGAATATCAAAATTGGTCCAGACAATACATCCATTCACCATTTAAAGAAGTGAGACCCATGCAGTCCCTGGATGGAAGTCTTAACAAGGAGTTCATGTTTTCCCTTTTCTCAGATATTATTATAGGAAGTCACAATCACCCTAGTAATCAAATGTGAAATTGGGTAGCTAGAACTGTGTCATTTCCCTACATAAAGCTCGAAAAACATTTTCACACTGTTTGTGCAGTCCATGGTAAACTACCAGATGCCTGATTACCTATCTAATTGCTAATGGTGAATGTGAGCTTCTTGTACCAAAGATAAATAGTTTCATCATATACTTTTTCTATTATTATTCCAAGACTTGTATATAGACCGTTAAGGCCCATCTTATGATGCAGATTATCCCCAAAGAACACTATGACAGGACAGATAACTCATGAGTTAATAAATTTTCTGCCTTCACCTTCTCTCTCTCGCGATTGTTGATCTTGTTGGTTTCGCAGTTAACCTTCCTCTTCTCATAGAATTCCCGTTTGTATTCATCAGCTTGGGTAATTATTTCATTCAGCAATTCCTTTTCCCTTGCCTCTTTCTCTTGAAGCTGGATGGCATTCTGTCTGCACGAGTATAAATTATTAGTATCCCATTTCATTAGTAGGAAACTGCAAGCTTCTCAGGAAGATTTATAAACTAAAAATGAAGCATGAAGTGCCATGAACTATTTATAATACACAAATCAAACAAAGTATTTTGTAACATCTTTCAACCGTTTGGATGTATTAATTAATGTTGTAAAAAGTACTAGGTGTCACCTAGGCAGACAAGGGGAGTATATCAGTCAGTATATATGTATATAAGACATACAGCTATGCTCATATACTGTGTACAATGCCACATATATATATAATGTATGTGGCCAAACAAATAAATTTTATATTTTATAGTAAGTGTATGTACAGTCAAATGAACATTAAAAAAGGAAACGGAAAAAACCAAAGTTTAAAAGAAATCAATCCATTTCATACCATTTTTTTAAAAAAAATAAGTCAGTCAAAATCCCCCTTGTAACCTCTCTTGATATTTCACAATAATCAAATTAGAAAATTTTAGACTTAAAAATGATTTCTCAAACTTCAGTTTTTTATTTTATTTTAAAGATTTAAAAAAGTTGACTTTTTTTTTTTTTCTCAAAAAAGAGGAACAAAAACAACATTACTTAAGGAGCAATAGGGAGGGGAGGTTAAAACTCCCCCAATTGTCTAACCCTATTAACATCGGGAAAATACCATATTGCCCATGGAATGGGCCTTAGGCAAGGCCCTTGAGGCACCTGATGAGGCCGCATTTCTAAAAGAATGGTATTCATGTTCTGCCTAAATCTACCCACGATAGGCAGCATCATTGAGAACAGTAAACCATGTCAAAGTTCGACAACCTTAGAGATCATGACAGCTTTCGAGGTTAAGTCACTTAACTTAGTGTATAATATACAAGGGCCACGGTTTCATGGTCTCCTCCCATCCCAAACACAAAAAATAATAGGGATTGTATACAATGAGACCATTTACCTTTGATGCAAAATGGCCACAATTACTTACAACCATCCGATGTGAAATTTGATAGCTTGGATATGTCACAAAGTTTGAGAAAATTTCTTTTGAAGTTTAAGCTTGGCCAATGGAATAATTGCAGCCACCCAATTTCATCCAATGGTCAAGATTCATGTGACCACTTTTTACCAAAGGTAAATAGTCTCATTCTATATTTTCCCAAAATAAAAACCTCTCTAAAATAAAAAAGTATCGTTTTTTGTAGTAACAAAAAGGACTCATGATTTTTCTTCATAAAAAAGAAAAAAAGAGGACCCATAATAGCCTCTGGTCGTGGATTCAAATCTTATCAGACCCTGATTCCCCTAAAACAAAAGGCATCATGATACATAATACCTTCTCAATGGGAAGGTGAGAATAATGAGGCTCTTCAGCAGGACTTAATCTATAGGATCAGTGGTCTTTTAGGCTACTCAAGTTTCAAATTTTCAATTTGTATGGTGCCGTATTTCACCTTTTTTTGTAACACTTTCGATAATAACTTTGTTTTGATTCCAACATCTTTTATTCTGAGAAAAGGTGAAATTTCATTGATGAACACAAACTGCAATTCTTATCCTTTTCATGGCTCATAAAAATACAATAACTGTAACAATCAAATCGAAGTCTTCCCACTTCCACCCATGCTCTACTCCCATTACAGGCATGAAAACAGTTATAATTCAGAAAAAATTATAAGTAGATTTCCCGACCACCTCAGAATCAGTCCCGCCTATAATTCTCTTTCTATAATTCTCTTCCATAATAGAAGGCGTTGAAGAATAATTTCATACAGTGTTAAGTTATGCCAGAAAAAAAAGGTAAATGAAAAAGAGATAGATGACAATAGACTCCCATGGATGAAATGGCAAATGGATTTCACCATCTTGTGCTCTATAGGCATCTGAAACACAACATCAAAGTTGTCCAATGTGAGGCTCCAATCAAAATTCAGCCCTTGTAGCTACATAGCCTATGGATGCGAACCAGTCGTCATTTTTGTTCTCTTCAATGCCCTATATTTATTTTCTTTCCAGATATATGTTAATTAAAAATCGGCTTATTAAATGGTCAAGCTGCCCAGCTAGGATAAGTCCTAGATGTGGTTTCGATGTAGTATAATCTGGATCATACCACTAACCAAAACTACAAATGATTCATCCAAACCAAACCACTAAGGTCCAGGTCCAGCTCCCACATCCAGAACCATTTCTGAATATTCACCCCTCAAATTGACCAGAACTTAAATCTCTCTCAGTTTCATCAATGTTTCATAAATAGTAATAGTTTCATCCTGAATCTAATATGTGGACTTCTTTTCTAACTTCCTCTATTCACAGAATTTCATGCTCCACTCTCGTTTTCAAAGCACAGAATCCAGTAATTAATTTTGACATTTAATAACGCAACTCCTAAAAAACGTCACAGGATATAATAATCACATCCCACATTTTCAAAAAAAACAAGAACCCGTCAACAAACGAAACAAAAATCAAGGAACCCAACTCCTAGAAAGCGGGAAAAAAACACAAAAGTACAAAACGAAAATTTCAAAACCAAGAAGACACGATTAACAAGCAAACTCAAATCAGCAAACCTAATTATTCAAGAGATGGAGGGAAAGAGATGTTACCGTTTCCATTCGCGAAGAATAAAACCTTCCTCAGGCTGCATTTCAGTGGGTGGAGGAAGAACTGGCCCATCAGAAACAAAGACCCCATCAGAGTAATCCCCACTCCCATAAACATTCCCATTCGAATCCGACATTTCCTGAAACCCCGAATACTCCGAAGCCTCGTGGTGATGACCCTCCGAATGGTAACCATAAGAAGAATGGTGAATGGGAGGAGGAGAAGACGGGTTCTCTAATGAGCTTTCAACGGGGAGCTCATCATCACCATAGGTTCCGTGATACTCAAGTGGGAGATCAGTGGAATCCTTGGAATCGTCTGCAAAAGTGGGGAAAGAGGAGGAATTGTAGCGCTGAGACGGAAGGCGGGGGTCGTAGCCAATGTAGCCATCATCATCGAATGGGCGAGATGAAGCCCTAGGCTCCTCCCCATCATGGCTGAAAGTGTCGAATCCGGACATGTTTCAGGAGAGACAAACACGGTAACAATGTCGAGAAAGGATCCAAACGAGAGATAGAGAGAGGATGGAACGGAGGGATGGATCAGAGGGACTTTGAGAGATAGATAATGGATCAGAGTGCAAGGGAGAGAGAATGGCGAATCAGGTCGATTTTAGAGAGAGAAAGAGAAATGATGAAATGAATGGAAAGACGGATCAGAGTGCAAGGGAGAGAGAATGGTGAATCAGGCTGATTTTAGAGAGAGAAAGAGAAATGATGAAATCAAGTGCGTCTTAGAGAGAGAGAGAGAGAGAAAGCTGGATCAGAGTGGTTTGAAGAGAGGGAAACTCTGGATCAAGGAGCTGGTCTTCAAAATGGGAGAGATAAGATAGGCCCCTCGTCCTTTATATCGATGAAATGACGATAATGCGGCCGCTCTTTCGTGTTAATGACCAGGAAAAACTCCAGCTTCTCCGACCATCCAAAAACCGTTCTTTCCTTTCGTTTCTTTAGAAAAATGGTTATAAAAACAAAATAGGATTTTAAGTTCTAAAAATAATATATATTGTAATGAAATATCTATACGGTCTATTTCTCCCCACAAATAAGTGTTCATACATCTATATGCAATACATGTTTTTTTTTTAAGTTTCAAATCTTATTTTCAGTGTTAGAAATTGATTTTAGATCTATTATGGAGATTTTCATTATCGAAAGTGCTTTCCAGACGAAGATTTAAATGCAGGTTGTAATTTTTGGATAAGCTTTCTATGCTTCTTCTACAGCATAAAAGTTCTATTTTCCTTTTTATCCAACCGTCCATTCTGAATAGAGGGTTAAGATTGCCTCAATCACAATATTACGTCTTTATACTATTTTATTTTTAATTTTTTTTCTATAAACTATTTTGACACCAAATTTTGGATGTCCATTTCTCTATTAAACTTGCATTAAAAAATATATATATATAAAATATTTTCAATAAAATAAAATGATCAAAATATTTTATCAAAAAATTGTTTAAAATATTTTATCGAAAAATTATTTTTAATATTTTTTACAGGTGCGTCCCAATGAGAAGATGACATGTTCCAAATTTCATATTCATACAATTTGTATTAAAAAAACCAAAAATAAAATACTTTGAGACATCGGATCTAAGATCAAACGATGAGCGACTCTCTTGATCAAAATTGGACAGCTGAATGGTAGGGAGAGGATAGAACTTGTATACTGTAGGAGAAGCATGGAAACTTTTTCCTTATTTTTTTTTAATAAAACTTAGAACTTACAAGAACTTCAAGACACCCAAAAGAAGAAGAAAGTTCTCTTTTTTTTTATTGGACATGGTTTTGCCTGGGACTTTCATGTAAAAATGAGTCCCCTCTTAAAATTGTATTTTTTAGATGGATTTTGGATCTACTTTTTAGAAATATATAATCTCTACCATAGATATCACTAATATGCAAACAAACAAATATTTTTAAAAAATGAAAATAACATTTTTATAAAAAAAAATATTTAGCCCATTTATCATAATATTTTTCTGAGGGACCACCTATTGGAATCCATCTTCAAGATGGATGTTTTATGATACGGGAAACCTAATTGTAGGAACGAGTCCCCCATCTCCCGATTCATTATTCTCATGCAACAATTTTCCTTTTTTTTTTTTTTTTTTTTTTTTTTTTTTTGAGCTTTGGAAGGAAAAGCTTTTGTTTGTCATTGTGGCCTCCTTTCAAAATCCAAATCCATTTTATGAATGGATCTTGACTATAATCATGATTTTGGGGAAAAAGGAATTAAAATTTTATAAATATATAATTTTAAAAAAATGAAAAATGTGGTCCAGAAATAATTTAAAAATAAAATAAATAATTTATTTTAAATTTTAAAAATCATTATTTTTATAATACTCATAATGGTAGTAGGCGAGATTTCCAACCTCCTCATCTTTTCTGTTGTATAAAATCAATAATTGACCAATCGGGGATGCATCAAAATTAATTCCCTGTTTTCCCCTTTTTGCAACAACTGACTTTCCTGTGTTGAACAATGAAGACTTCCAGCTCTTTTCTTTATTGTTTTTGAAGTTTCTTTTGCTTTGCATATATTACAATTTCTAGTTTTGGTTATTACCTTAGAAGCAAACAAACATTAGAGCCTTATATGAGAACAATTTTTTTATTTTTTTAGAATTTGTCCTACACCAATGTACCAACCAACAATACAAGAGAAATGAAAATAATTTAATTTATTTGAAGTACCATGCACCTATTACATTAAATTACATCAAGCAAGTTGTTATTGGCTAATAGGGATACGCAAGTTAACTTTCAAAAACAAAGAATAATGTTTATCTTTATGGGAAAGCTTTTTAGGTTCTCCTTATAACATAGAAGTTCTATTTTTCCTCTTATCCAATCGTCTATTTTATAATGGAGGCTAAGATTGCCCCAATCACAATGTCATGTCTTTACACTATTTTATTTTTATTTTATTTTTTTATAAACTATTTTGACGCCAAATTTTGGATGTCCATTCCTCTATTAAACTTGCACTAATGAAAAATATAAAAAAATTATTTTCAATAAAATAAAATGATTAAAATACTCCTAAAAAGTTCAAGGGGTATTTTGATCATTATAGTTTATCAAAAAATTATTGTTAATATTTTTCTATCGGTGCACCCCAATGAGAAGATGGCACGTACCAAATTTCATATTCAAAAATTTGTATTAAAAAACTAAAAATAAAATACTTTGAGACGTCGGATTTAATATTAAACGGTGAGTGGCTCTCTTGATAAAAAATAGATGGCTAGATGGTAGGAGGAGGATAGAACTTCTATGCCGTAAGGGAACATAGAAAGCTTTTCCTATCTTTATTGTCTATCCAATTGGAAAGTATAGACTTGGAAATGTTTTAAAACACGAATCAAAGTTATATTACGCAAGATAAATGATGTAGAACTTTGTAACCTTATTTTCACAAAAAGTTGATGCCTTATACAAACTTTCATTGTCAAAGCCATTTCTCAAGAGCTAACGAATTTTGGTCTATCAATATGCTTTATTAAGGGTCATATTCCACTATCAGTCTATATTTTTTCTTACTACTTCTAACCATGTCTTTTTGGGCTTACCCTTTGCTTTTTTTTGGGCTTCCACTTCAACTAACTACCACCTCCTAACAAGTGTTGTACTGGGCTTTATATCAACTAACCTCTAAATATACATTTGCTTTTGAGTATGGTTTGTATAAGCTTAAGGCTCTAAAAAATCAAAGTAAGACGCACCTTCAAATAGTGTTAAAAGGTGTTTCCGTACTAGAAATATTGGTGATGGCCTGAAAATTTATTTTTCTTTAATTATAAAATTTACAGATTCAAAAATAGTGTGGATCAAGCAGATCTATGAGCACTTGAAAAGAAAATTGTTTCATGCGGCCAGGACTGTATTTCTACATTTACAGTCCCCAAGGTATAAGGCATCTATCTTAAAAATGGATGCAAATAGGTGGTCCATCTAAAAATAATTGAAACTACCGGTCCAAATGTTTTATTAATAAATTTTTTATTTGGGTACATTTTGTATAGAGCATAGGCTCTAAACAATCAAATTAGAACCTACCTGCAAATAGTATCGAGAAATGTGGTTTCAATGCAAGAAATCTTTGTGATATCCGTAAAATATATTTTCATCTTTATTTATAAAGTTTAAAGTTTCAAAAATAATGTAGATCGACATATCTATGAAAACTTTAAAATCTTGAAAATTGATGGTCTAAAAATATACTATTTCCAAAACTTGAAATCTATTTTTTTCGCATGTCCATTCATCTTGATGTCAAGAAGATCAATTTGAGCATCAAACCGACCTCTTCTAGTGAAAGTTTGAGGTAGGTTCTAATTTGATTATTTAGAGCTTCGGCTCTATATAAATTTTTCCCTTATTATTTTTAATTTTAAAAAATTATTTAGTTTTCATATTCATTATCTCCATATTAGATATTACATGTCTTTAAAAATTGGGTGCAGTTTGTATAGAGCCGAGGTTCTAAACAATCAAATTAGAGCCTACCTTCAGATCGTGTAGAGAAATGTGGTTTCAATATTGGAAATCTTGGACTAGCCTTAAAATATATTTTCATCTTTAATTATAAAATTTAAAGCTTAAAAAATAGTGTACATCGAGCAGAACTATAAAAACTTCAATAACTTAAAAATTGATGGCCCAAAAATACGTTACAAGATGCACTATTTCTAAAACTTAGAATCCATTTTTTTTTCAAGTCCACCCATCTTGATATTGAGATGATTAATTTGAGGATATTTGGACATCAAAAGAACCTCTACTAGTGAAAATTTTGAGGTAGGCTTTAATTTGATTGTTTAGAGCCTAGGCTCTATATAAACTTTTCCCTTAAAAATTAGGTAAAAAAACCCATCTAAAAAATAGATTTTTAAGCGGTGACTCATTTTTACATAGACTCATAGAAACCGTGTCCCACTTAAAAATCGTGATAATTGACAATCCATAAAATGCATTATGCACTATTTTTGAAGACTTGAAACCATTTTTTCTCATGTCTATATATCTTGGAATCAAGATGATCGATTTAAGGATTCTTGGCCATCGAATCAACTTCTTCTAGTGAAATTTTGATCCACGCCTTGTTTTGATTGTTTAGATCCTTGGCTTTATATAAACTTTTTACTTTGCTTTTTCATGTTAAAATATTTGTAATACTTGCTCAACCCTAAAATTTTTAGATATAACCTACTCAACCCACTAACAATCTACAAAAAAAAAAAATTACATTTGAAGTTGTAGCTTATACCAATTCTATCAGATTCGCTTCAGAGTCTTCTTCAATTTGATGAGAAAAATAAAGCAATTGGATACTTCAACCGATTTGAGAATTCAAACTTTTTTAAAAATTTAGTATAAATTTTATATATATATATATATATATATATATATATATATATATATAGTATAGTAGTAGTATCGTCGTCGGTACGTACGTAGGTTACGTAACAAACGAAAAAGTAAACGTAACCGAACCGACCGACGTAGTAGTAATACGTACGACCG